ACAGGTGAAATACCCGCCTGAAGTACCTTCTAAAGGCACGATATGATGTTGTTCAAACGTACTTCTTTCAAATGCGTTATCATTTTCGTCCACCTTTCGTCAAACGTGCATGCTCAAAACTACGTTACGTAATTTGTATCACTAATGACTTTTGACTGAAAATTGAACATTTCAGCCCGGTGACCGTTGACCTCATGGCACAGCGGATGGGCGTGTTACGTCGCGAGGGGAGATCGCCGGTCTTCCGCGAACTTGACCGGAAGGTGAGGTCGGCGATCAGGCGTGACTGCCGTGCGGAAATTGAGAGGAGGCTGCGTGATCATGGGAGCGGTTCTCTGTAACCGCATTATCCGCCCGCTGTTAGGGAGGGGGGGGGGGGGGGGAGCGGTGTTCACAATCTCACTGTCGCCTCCCCGGACGAGATGAATGCTTATTTTGTTAATGTCGGCCCACGTGTTGCACCCAACCTGACCGGTCTTGGACAGCCACCTGACGTCCCACGTCACCCGCCCAGGGTGGGGCTTTTGGTTTCCGGGTGATTGGCACGACCCTGGGCGGGCTGCACGAGGTCATGCCCTCCATGACGCGTTCTGTGGGGTGTGGACGTGATGATGTTTGTATTTGTACTCTGCTCCTCTGTTATATATATATATATATATATATATTATATATAATATATATATATACGTTATCGGCCCTGTCCTCCTCCATATAAGATACCCCTGCCTCATCTTCTGCAACTTTCCGGTTCCTGGAAGCCCACCCCCGTTCATCCTATTTTCAAATCCGCGGTCCAACCCTGAATTTCATTTACTGCCCTATTTCCAACATCCCTATCATGGCGCCATTGTCGAGCCTGTGGTGCAAGTGCCAGGTGCTTATATACATGCTCTGACAATCATCTTCTGTCCTCATCCCAACATGTTCCCGTTCCCGTCATTCCACACAGACTGCTCTGCTCGCCGTGACCAACCGCATATACTATATATATATATATTATATATATATATATATATATATATATCAAACATGGATGAGGCCATCTTTCACTCGTGCGCCTCTTGGATCTCAAGTAAATGTTTTGATGTCCTTCCTCTTCCTCACTACTTTCCAAGCTGCATGTCTGTGACATTGGACACCGCTTGGTTCTTCCCCTATCTTTCTCTCCATTTCTAGGTCAGTGCATCCTTCTTCTTTTGGTGACAGAAAGGTCTCCTAGCCCCTCCCCAACATCATAGGAGTTTTCCAGGGATTAGCTCTTGGTCCTCTTTTATTTATAATCTTCGCCAACGACCTCAGCACGCGCCAGACGCCCATATGATCCAGTACGATGACCCTACTCGAACCCTTACATCCGATGTTAAGCGCAACCTTCCTTCCCCTTATCGAATTAGGCCGTGAAAAACTTGGGCGTGCTATTTGACCATCACCTGAATTGGGATGCATACGTCACTGATGTAGTTTGAAAAAATGCATCGGCAGCCTGATCGATCTCCGCCGCTGAAACGTTTTCTCCTACATCGGTCTCACGCAGCAGCAATCTTGACCTGCACGATCGTGCTGCTGACCACCGTGCAGGATCTTCATCTCGCACGTGAGATGCTGTATTTCAGTTTATGGCCAGGGGTCAGCTGTGCTAGGCCAGACTTTTGAAAGCAGTTAAGTTCCGTTCCAGTGTAGTTACTGGCCTCCGAAAGTATGACGTTTCTTGCACGCGGGATGACCTGCACTTTGCAATGCCTCGCCAAATGTGTGAATTGCGAACTATTATCGCTGTGTTCAAAGCCCATAAGCAATGCGAACCTGCGGATCTTGCCCGTTTGTTTCAAGCACATCAACGCACGAACCAGTGACCGATCCACCCGCACGACCAGAACCTGCGCCCCCTGCGGTGCGCACGGCGACAGGACAGCGGTCCTTCGCGTGCCGAGTGACTTCTCTCATGTACGAGTTGCCGTTGGGTGTTAAACAACTGCATTCAACATGTTTGAAGCGCAGAGGCAAGTCATTTTGTGCGATAAGGTTGTCTTGTACCGTAATGCATGCAAACGGACTGTACCCAACGATTTTTTTGGCGAGTTCCATCAGCGGGTAGTCCTTTGTCAACCCTGTGCTTCCCATTGCCAAGGCACTGGCTGCGCACCTGCCCTCCCCTCCACAGGGGAATGCAACCATGCATGATGTTGTTTCAGTCCATCGCAATTCATCACCGTTTTCTATCTCCAGATATGCGCCCTACCTGGAATTTTGATTCCTCAGAGTTTTAAAAAAGACCAACTATATAGCACTATTTATGCATACTGGATGCCTTCGGATTTAGTAGCATTTATCACTAGGGGGTTGGTAACCTCTGGCAGCACTGCAGGATCATCAGGCTAGCAAGAACTCTAAGTTGTTTATCTTGAGGTATTTTGTTAATAAAAGTTATCCGACTGGGATACAAAAATACGCGCTCCTGCAACTGCATCATCAGAGGAGGGCACTAGGTGCAGTTGATTTCAGGGAGCCCATGGCCGTTGTCTAGCAAGGCTCTGGTTGTTTAGAACAAGAGTAGCGAATAGCCGAGTGAATATACAGGTTATGCAGCTGAAACAATCGAAACACCAGGACAAATCAACAATGATGGCTCATTGATGCGCTAGGTACTGTACCTATAAGCGACGGAAGGGTGTTCGTCTGTTAGTAGTGAGTGATATTGTCGATGGGTCTGGAACTCGCTCGTAAAAATTTGCGTCCCATTCTGTCGCAAATCGTGGTAGCCTCACCTCTGTGGTAAATTCTGACTGCAATCCTAGGTCTGCACAACTGTAATAAACAAAGTTGGTGGGTCTTCCAGTTGACAGTGTTAGGCATAAATCACCATAATCACTTATGAGTGATAACATTAAAATTGCATATGTCTGGTGAGAGTTTAAGTGCAGTGGCTGCTCTCTTATCCAAAAGTTGCAATGACCATGGCAATGGCTATTTGTGATGCAGGAACGGTGATGTCCATCAGTTTATTTTTACAAATCCAGCTCAAGTTTCCATGTCAAGAATGTTCTATGTCAACATTTCTATGCTGATATATTTGTACATTTTGAAAATGTACTCATGGCTGTGTTAACTGTTAATCATCAATACATGCATCACAGGCTGATCACAAATTATGTGGTGTTTGTCAAACCCTGAGATATCATTTCTCAAGGATATTTTGTAATATTTGACTCATTTGATCTGTATCACCCTGAGATCACATTCATTTCATTTTATCATAACATGAAATCCTCCATAGTTTGGACGTAATTTTCATGTACAGCTACTAAGATTCTAAATCTTACTAATGTTCTTTAAATTATTCCCCAAGCAGTTGTCATGTGATTATTGGCTGTACCACATGTGAGGCATTCTACAGTTTAAAAGTGGTGACCACATGAATGCAGAAGAATATCATGTACTCATATATATGTAGGCACTATTGTATAGCATGGATGCATGTGAAATGCTACTACATTTTGTTTTAAAGTTGATAATAAGGATATGGTTAACAGTGATACACAGAGATACACATTTTCACTTCCTTCATGAGATCCTGTGCACCTAGCTACCAGACCATGGCTCTCCTTTTTTAATGGCTTATTTTCATCTTCTATTGCAATATTTCTCCAGACAAAAATTCCTTTTGACTATTGGTGCAAAATAAAAGTGCATTTGAATGTCATATAATTGTTGTCAGGCTGAATTTTTCTGCACCTGCACAGCCTATAGCAAGTCAATTTTGGAACAATAGGTTCAGTGACAGCTATCTTTTTGCAGATTGTTTTTCACCTATGGTTGCTGCTGTTGTGCTCATCATGAACTCATCAGACAGGCCTGAGCAAGCAGAGACACTGGGCAATACAAGTGCTACTGCCTTGGAGCAGTCTACCACCTCCAGACAAGGTCTGTACCCCTACTTACTGCATGTTCACAACATGGTGTGTACTGAAACATGTTAGTATGCATTTCTTTCAACATATGTCAGCTGTGGGCAATAGGAAATGCTCCTTGGGGTTTGTGATGCCAAAACTATGTAGTCTTGAGATGGAGTCAAGGAAATATGCCATTTTTTTCTTTTGGAGCCCACAATTTTGTTAGTTGTCAAATTTAGGACTTGGGCAGTGGCCATGAAGACTGTTGTGTGGCTGAATTACTGTGATTGCTTGTTACAGATACATGAAGTGGTGATGCCATTTGTCTAATTTAAATATTGTGCAGTAAGGCAGCCATTGACTGACTTATTCAGCTATGAAATAGTCATATCAGAATATTAGGAACATGGCTGATGACATGTCTGGAAAGCAGTGTTGCAGCAGATGGTTGTTGGATTTCCTTATGACTTTTTAAGCTTGTCTTTGCATCTGTTCTAGCTGCTTAGGCTCCACTTAAAAGAGGCTGATATCATCAGCATTTATATTATGCCATCACATGAACAATACACAGTTTGCTAGCATTTTCTTCAGTGTAAGATGTAGTGGTGTGTGGTGTGAGCCATAGATTGTTGTTTTCTGGTGCTCAAAAGGCTGTTGCTTTGGTCTACTCTGTTTTGACTTGTATATTTTACTTGCATCCTAATGGGTGCCAATCTGTCAGTAGGCATGGAAACCTTCATGCCAATGACTACCAAAAGTATGCTTGGATTCAAAAGTTAATGTTATGTGCTATGTTCATGGAATACCATGGTATTGATGCCCACTGGCAAATCAAGTTCAGACATTGAAAATGTTTTTGTCAGGCAGCCTTTATGAATGGCTTTTCTTCAGAATATTCACAGTATGTTTCAGGAAAGTTGCTGATGTGCAAGGATATTATGCTGTTGTAGAGAGGGCCAGAACATTGTATTCCAGTTTATGATTGCTCTGAAAGTTTGAAGGTCATTTAAAGAGCAAACCACATTCGCTAGATCTAGCGGTTGTTTTTGCCTTGCCAGATGACTGTGGAGACACTCCAGGCAGCAACAAGAGGACACTCCGCCACTCGATCATGAGAAAGATAGCCAGGCTGGAAGACCAGAGGTACAGTATTCACATTGTTTGTCAGTTTGTCAGGCCATGAGCAGAGGAGAAGGATGACCAGCTTTCCTAAATATGTGGTTTGCTTGACTACATGTTGGCAGCTGATGAATGAAGCTGTTGGGTTGATTGGCCTTTGTTGATCTAATGCCTGCAGGTGGCCGCGGTGGGTGACCAGTTTTAACGCATTTAAAAATGACTTTGGCGAAACTAGGTGAAAACGTCACCGTCTGAATGGCTGTTTCTCCTGGCAGCTGCCCTCGCAGAAGGACGTTATAAAACGTGTCATGCGATGCTGCGGGCTGTCATTGAGTTTGACCACCTGCTTGTGCGTCTAGCGTGTTTGTTTGCTTATAAGGCGTGCGGCTGTGAGCCGGGCTCTGCTGATCCGACCTCAGAGCCTCCGTCACCGCCGTCTGGACATCGCCCATTGTCAAACAAGCGTCTCTCTCTGCCGAACAGACATGGCAGGCGCCTGGTGTTCAGTTCAATTCAGTTCAGTTCCTTATATTAACGGATTATTCCAACGAGTGGTGTACTGTTTGATTTGATACAATAACAACAGTAGTATGAATGGAATATTAAACATGACAACAACGTGACCACATTTGCACGTTATCAACCGTCCGTTCGTTCACACAACCTCGTCAAAAACAACATGATTCGAGAGAGATGATTTGAACAAAACGATTTTGATATTTTAAAAATCAAACACGCCCGGTACGGTGTGGTGGGTGGAGCCGCGGCCGGTGGTCGCGTGCCGGGCGCGCCGCCGGCTGACCGACGTCTGGTGACGCGGCGTTCCGGCCCTGCCCGCAGGAGGGCGATGGCCGGAACAGCGCTCTCCGAGGACGAGGAGAAGCGCTGGCTCTACGAGCAGATGGCGGCTCTGCAGCAGAAGATCCGCCGCCTCGAATCCGGCCAGGTGAGCTGGCCGCGGCCTGGCTTCGGCTGTGTCGCCCGGCCTGGGCCGGAGAGCGCTATCACACGATTGTCGTCCGCGCCTCTCGGACTGGGCTGGTCGGCACGCACGTTCCTGCCGTGCTCAAACTCCTGGCCGGCAGTCTTGGGAGTGAGTACTGGGCGGCCGGCTGTGCCCACACCCTCACCCTTCAGAGAGTCCGTGACTCTGACCCCGGCCCCCTCTGACAGGACGGCGGTGCCAGCGACAATCAGGCCCTGCCGGCGTCCGAGGCGGCTACCAAGACCGGGCTGGAGCAGATCGATCGAGAAATAGTGCGACTTCGTCAGCAGGTGGATGCCATGGTGAGTAGCCGTCAGAAACGTAAACGTTGCCATTGGATGCATCAGGTTTTATATGCTGTTCCGGCGTAAGTGTTTAACCAATAAGTACGGTCTGCCTCTCCTCATTTCACAGTATGGTGATATCGGTTTTAAGTTTCGTGTGTGCAGTTGTGTGGACATGTTGGTCTTTTTTCGTTGTTTGAGCCTTTATTTGAGCGATGTGCCTGACTGTGGATGAGCTGTCCTTGGTCCGCATGCCGATGCTTAGCTCGCTGTTTAGCTGCTACTGAGTACTCTGTATGGTAGGGCTGCGAGGCTGTGTTTGTCGCCATTGAATTGGGTGTGCTATCGAGCTGTACTGTGTGTATTAGCTTAGACACCGCCGTGGAGTGCCATCTGTGGCTGCTGAGTGTAGGGCATCACCGCTGAGTGCCATCTGTGGCTGCTGAGTATAGGGCATCATCGCTGAGTGCCATCTGTGGCTGCTGAGTGTAGGGCATCACTTGAGTGCCATCTGTGACTGCTGAGTGTAGGGCATTACCACTGAGTGCCACCTGTGGCTGCTGAGTGTAGGGCATTACCGCTGAGTGCCATCTGTGGCTGCTGAGTGTAGGGCATCACTGCTGAGTGCCATCTGTGGCTGCTGAGTGTAGGGCATTACCGCTGAGTGCCATCTGCGGCTGCTGAGTGTAGGCCATCACCGCTGAGTGCCTTCTGTGGCTGCTGAGTGCCATGTGCTGCTGCTGAATGTCATCAGCGGCTGCTGGGTGTTGTGTACCGCTCTTAAGCGTCATCTTCGGCTTCCGACAGTCGCTGTCGTCGTCCTCGGATGAGCAGAGCTCTGGTAGCGGTGACGGCGCCCCCCGTCTGTACCGCGCGGCGGGCCCTGGCCAGCCGGCCGGCGCTGTCTGGACCAGTGACCCGCCGGACTCCAGAACCTCCTCCCAGTCGAGCCCGGCTCAGGTAACAGCTGTTCGGCACCGGAGGTGGCGCTGGAAAACCAGCAATACAGATGAAAGGGCAGAGGTGGCAATATGTTGGGATGTCGAAAGAACGTGGGATGGGTCGCTGCCGTACCTAGATGCCGTCGATATGTCAGCTCTAGTTTGGTGTGGAAATGCAAGCGTCGCTTTCCGATGCGTCGCTGTCGGGCGCCGGGCCCGGGTCCCCGCCGTGTGCGGCGTCAGGCCTTCATCATCGAACCGTGGCCGGGGTCGGGAGGAAGGGAGGGAGGCGTCCCGCTGGCGCTGACGCCGGCTCCTGGGCCAGCAGCTGGCGGCCAGCGGCGGCGGCCGGGCCGAGCTGGTGCTCTCGCTGCTGCAGCTGCTGCGCTCGGCCGACCACCAGCTGGTCAGCAGCACGCTGCTGACCATGACGTCCAGCACGGAGAGCTGCGCGGCGCTGCGGCGCGCCGGCTGCCTGCCGGCCCTGGATCAGCTGATCCACTGCCCGCAGTCGGCCGCCGGCGCTGGCGCCCGCCGGCCACACAGACAGGTGGGAACACAAGACACTAACACCCGCGGTGATCACGTCTGTTAATGACGAGCGTGCCGGTGACTAATAGTGACATTGGATGCGTGTTAAACAAGTGATGTTTTAAAGGACTGATGCTCCTGAATTTTCTGTGGCCATTTAAGCGTCAAGTTGGCCTACTCGTATGATACGTGTTGGCTCTCCGTACTGCTGCGCTTCAGTGCACAGCTCCAAATGTGTTGTCATGCCAACGCAGCTCCGCGCTAGACAAGCTTTATCTCGGCGCCGTGGACACTGCAGAAGCCGGTCGCTCGTGTCCGCCGGTCAGAGAGCCGGTGGTGCCGAGCCGCCACCCCCCACCCCCCCCCCTGACCGTGCTGCCGCCGTCGCCAGGTGCGCGCCGCGCGCGCGGGCGCTGCACAACCTGGTGCGCGCGCAGCCGGACGGCCGCCGCGCGCGCCGCGAGGCCCGCCTGCTGCGCCTGCTGGAGCAGCTGCGCGACTTCACCGAGAGCCTGTGGCAGCGCGCCGACGAACAGGACCAGCCGTGCTGCTGGACGGTATGTGCCCGGTGGGACGTCCTGCGGCATGGCACGCGCTCGGTGGGACGTCCTGCGTCATGGCACGTGCCCGGTTGGATGTCCCGTGTGATGGCACACGCTCGGTAGGACGTCCTGCGTCATGGCACGCGCTTGGTGGGACGTTCTGTGTGGTGACACGCGCTCGGTAGGACGCCCTGTGATGGTATGTGCTCGGTGGGACGCCCAGTGTGATGGTACGTGCTCGGTGGGACGTTCTGTGTGATGGTATGTGCTCGATGGGACGTCTCGTGTGGTACGTGCTTGTGGGACGTCCTGTGTGATGGTACATCCTCGGTGGGACGTTCTGTGTGATGGTACTTGCTGGATGCGGCGTCTTGCGTGATGATGCGTGCTGGACCGGGACCTCCAGAAGCAGTAGCACTGTGCAGATAGAGCGGTTGTGATGAATACTCTATATAAATATCAGTGTTGCGCGGCACGGCACGGACGGCTGCCTCCCTGGCCGGCAGACTCGCTGCATCAGCACCCAGTGGCGGCGGTGGTGGAGTTGGTCAAGCTGTCGTTCGACGAACAGCAGCGGAGCGCGCTCTGCCAGCTGGGCGGCCTCTACAGTCTGGCCGAGCTGGTGCAGGCCGAGCACGAGACGCACGGCCCGGCCACCGGCCACCCGGCCTGCAACACCACCCGCAGGTGAGCCGCCGGCCCCGGCCTCACACTCACCCGGCCTGCGGCACCACCCGCAGGTCAGCCACCGGCCCCGGGCCCACACTCACCCGGCCTGCGGCACCACCCGCAGGTCAGCCGCCGGCCCCGGGCACACACACTCACCCGGCCTGCAGCACCACCTGCGGGTCAGCCGCCAGCCCGGGCCACACACTCACCCGGCCTGCGGCACCACCCGCAGGTCAGCCGCCGGCCCCGGGCCACACACACTCACCCGGCCTGCGGCACCACCCGCAGGTCAGCCGCCGGCCCCGGGCCACACACTCACCCGGCCTGCGGCACCACCCGTGGGTCAGCCGCCAGCCCCGGGCCCACACACTCACCCGGCCTGCGGCACCATCCGCAGGTCAGCCGCCGCCCCGGGCCTCACACTCACCCGGCCTGCGGCACCACCCGCAGGTCAGCCGCCGGCCCCGGGCCACACACACTCACCCGGCCTGCGGCACCACCCGCAGGTCAGCCGCCGGCCCCGGCCTGACACTCACCCGGCCTGCGGCACCACCCGCGGGTCAGCCGCCAGCCCCGGGCCACACACACTCACCCGGCCGGCGGCACCACCCGCAGGTCAGCCCCGGCCCCGGGCCTGACACTCACCCGGCCGGCGGCACCACCCGCGGGTCAGCCGCCAGCCCCGGGCATGACACTCACCCGGCCGGCGGCACCACCGGCAGGTCAGCCCCCGGCCCCGGGCCACACACCCGGCTCAGGCTTGACAGTGTCCACGGGTGGGGATAACACGCGCAGGTCAGGCGCCGGCTCAGCAATGGCGGGCCAATTGTGGGCTGTGCTCGACACTGCGCCGAGTGTAAGTGGTGGGGGCAAGGGCGGCCTGAGGCAACCCCGCGGCCCAGGCTCCTGGGGCGTTGTATTGTGCTGTGTTGGCCTGTGTGAATGCGTGCGGACGTGTAAACCGTGTATGAGCTTTAGCGCTGTGTCGTGGCATGGACGATCACTGGGGCCGCGCGTCCGCTGGGTCACGGCCGGCGGGCGCCGCGTCTGACGACCGGCCGGCGGGCACCGCGTCTGACAACTGACCAGCGGGCGCCGCGTCTGACGACCGGCCGGCGGGCGCGTCTGACGACCGGCCGGCGGGCGCCGCGTCTGACAACTGACCAGCGGGCACCGCGTCTGACGACCGCCGGCGGGCGCCGCGTCCGACGACTGGCCGGTGGGCGCCGCGTCTGACGACCGGCCGGCGGGCGCCGTGTCTGACGACCGGCCGCGGGCGCCGCGTCTGACGACCGGCCGGCGGGCGCCGCGTCTGACGACTGGCCGGCGGGCGCCGCGTCTGACGACTAGCCGGGGGCGCCGCGTCTGATGACCGGCCGGCGGGCGCCGCGTCTGACGACCGGCCGGCGGGCGCCGCGTCTGACGACTGGCCGGCGGGCGCCGCGTCTGACGACTAGCCGGCGGGCGCCGGTCTGATGACCGGCCGGCGGGCGCCGCGTCTGACGACTGGCCGGCGGGCCATGCGACCGTGACGACTGGCCGGCGGGCGCCGCGTCTGACGACCGGCCGGCGGGCGCCGCGTCTGACGACCACGACCGGCCGGCGGGCGCCGCGTCTGACGACTGGCCGGCGGGCGCCGCGTCTGACGACTGGCCGGCGGGCGCCGCGTCTGACGACTGGCCGGCGGGCGCCGCGTCTGACGACCGGCCGGCGGGCGCCGCGTCTGACGACCACGACTGGCCGGCGGGCGCCGCTTCTGACGACCGGCCGGCGGGCGCCGCGTCTGACGACTGGCCGGCGGGCGCCGCGTCCGACGACTGGCCGGCGGGCGCCGCGTCTGACGACCGGTCGGCGGGCGCCGCTTCTGACGACCGGCCGGCGGGCGCCGCGTCTGACGACTGGCCGCGGGCGCCGTGTCTGACGACTGGCCGGCGGGCGGCAGGTTCGCCAGCATGGCGCTCACCAACCTGACGTTCGGCGACGGCACGAGCAAGGCGTTGCTGTGCGGCCAGCGCGCCTTCATGCGCGCTCTCGTCACGCAGCTTCACTCACCCAGCGAGGAGCTTGTGCAGGTGAGACACTCCCTGCCGCGTCCGTGTCGCCGTGTCGCCGTGTCCCCGACCGTGCAGCCGTGTCCCTGACCGTGCGACCGTATCCCCGACCGTGCGGCCATGTCCCCGACCATGCAGCCGTGTCTGACCGTGCAGCCGTGTCCCTGACCGTGCAGCCGTGTCACTGGCCATGCGACGTGTCCCTGACCGTGCCGCCGTGTCCCTGACCGTGCAGCCGTGTCCCTGACCGTGCAGCCGTGTCCCCGACAGTGCCGCCATGTCCCAGACCGTGAGACCGTGTCCCCGACCGTGCAGCTGTACCCCTGACCGTGCGACCGTGTCTCCGACCTTGCTGCCGTGTCCCTGACCGTGCCGCCGTGTCCCCGACCGTGCAGCCGTGTCCCTGATCGTGCAGCCGTGTCCCTGACCGTGAAGCCGTGTCCCCGACCGTGCCGCCGGTCCCCGACCGTGCAGCCGTGTCTCTGATCGTGCAGCCGTGTCCCTGACCGTGAAGCAGTGTTCCCGACCGTGCAGCCGTGTCCCTGATCGTGAAGCCGTGTCCCTGACCGTGAAGCCGTTTCTCTGACCGTGCGCCGTGTCTGTGACCGCGCACCCGTGTCCCTAACCATCAGCCGTGTCCCTGACCGTGCGGCTGTGTCCCTGACCGTGCCGCCGTGTCTGACCGTGCCGCCGTGTCCACGATGGTGCAGCCGTGCCCCTGGTCGTCAGCCGTGTCTCCGAGGCCTGCCGCCGTGTTCGCGACCGTGCAGCCGTGTCTCTGACCGTGAAGCCGTGTCCTCGACCGTGCAGCCGTGTCCCTGACCGTGCCGCCGTGTCTGCGACCGTGCAGCCGTGTCTCTGACCGCGAAGCCGTGTCCCCGACCGTGCAGCCGTGTCTCCGACCGTGTCGCCGTGTCCGTGACCGTGCGGCCGTGTCCCTGACTGTGCGGCCGTGTCCCTGACCGTGCGGCCGTGTCCTTGACCGTGCGGCCGTGTCCCCGACCGTGCAGGCGTGTCCCTGACCGTGCGACCGTACCCCTGACCGTGCAGCCGTGTCCATGACCGTGCGGCTGTGTCCCTGACCGTGCAGCCGTGTCCGACCGTGCCTCCGTGTCCACGATGGTGCAGCCGTGCCCCTGACCGTGCAGCCGTGTTCCTGACCGTGCGGCCGTGTCCCTCACCGTGCAGCCGTGTCCCTGATCGCGCAGCCGTGTCCCTGACCGTGCGACCGTGTCTCTGACCATGCAGCCGTGCCCCTGGCCGCGCAGCCGTGTCCTTGACCGTGCGACCGTGTCTCTGACCGTGCGGCCGTGTCCCTGACCATGCGGCCGCGTCCACGACCGTGCAGCATGCCCTTCCTGACCGT